GTGTTTGAGAAAGATTTGCGTTTATAAGGCGCTATTCAGCTTAACTTGATCGTCGACGCACTCCATAGTCGAATCGGTTTAAAGCACGTCGGATCTAATAACGGTTTCTCCTACGGGGCGTCGGGACGCAGGTTCGAATCCTCTCTGAGAGCGCATATTTTTCTTTAACAAGATTTCTCGAATATTTAGTACGGCGTACGAAAATAAATAAATATACTGTTTAATAAATAAACGGAACGTCTACTCAACTATGGGTGTCCACTAAAGATAACGTTTAAGTAATAAAATCTGTTGGATTAATAAATAAAAATCCGTCACTTAAAAATTGCTTTGTTTACATTAGAATATGAAACTGAGCAGATATGAATGTTTCGAGAGTGTGAGAAAGATATGCATTGATAAGGAACTATTCAACTTTGTTTGGTCGACGATGCACTGTGTGGGCGAATCGTTCTAAAGCTCATCGGATCTCAGGTTGGTTTCTCCTAAAAAGGGGGATGCAGGTTCGAATCCTGCCAGAGAGTGCATATTTTCTTTAATAATAAACGGAGCGTCTACTCAAATATGAGTATCCACTAAAAATAACGTCCATACTAGCTATATATTTGGGCGATTTCGTTTAGATGAAGAGAGTTTTGAGGATGATATGTGCAGTTCTGCACAAAGTAATCTTTTATATCTGTGAGGTATTGATTTGTCCAGGAATTTTACTCACATGATTTTTGGTAACCCTTCTTTATCCTACCCAATGCCCCTATCACAACAGGAATAATCGTAGTTTTAAGTTTCCCCATTCAGTATTATTATTATTATTATTTCTTTTGATTTCTGTTGTTTACTCATTACCCAACCAGTGACCTAAGGTCACAAATGGCTTCATGACATTTTCTACTGAGCATATTTAAAATAAACGTTAAAAAAGACAACCTAAGATCACACATATTTTACATTTGTTTTTTGTATTTCTTTAAAGCATGGACTACCAGGGATCGCTTGAATGAGTCTATCGGAACTGTTTCCAATCAAACCGAATGCTCCAACTACAACGGGAATAATTGATGTCCTCTTGTTCCACATTTTCGAAATTTCCACTTCAAGATCCGTGTATTTTGATAGGTTTTAAAGATCTTCAAAGGTATATTACAATCTGCAGTAAATTTCATGTCAATAAAAAAGCAAATTATGTTTTTGTGGTTTTTAATCACGATATTCGGGCGATTAGCTTTGATTGTTTTGTCTGTGTGTATTGTAAAGTCCCATAAAATTGTTACAGGTCCTATCTCCGTAACTGGGCCTGGGTGGCGTTCATACCAATTTCTTTCAATTTCCTTCCCGTAGAAGTTGCAGATTTTTCAGTGCAGATATTGGCCCACCCTGTCATGCCAAGTTTTATATTCAGTGAGTGCCAATACCGTGCAACCTGATAACAAGATGGTCAAATATTTCTGGATATTTATCACAGAATTTTTCTCTGATAAATATCACAATTTTTCAGTATGCGTACTTGGTAATTTCTGTTTATCAGGCATTGATCCTGTGCAGCAAGAATAAAACCTTTGGTTTCAGCTTTTAACCCTGCACTACGTAATCAGTGATGGGTACGGGGTTTGTCTACATCAGTTTGTTTGGCACGGGCAGAGCATTGACCATGAAGAGGCTGATTTTGCCAACGTTTCTGCATTAGGTCCATTGCATTTCCTTATGCTTTCTTTTATAGGTTCTTTTGTTGCCGCAGGAAATGTATTACGGTTTACTTTCACATCTTAATCCACTTGAAATTTTCTTTTGAATTTGTTGGCTTCTTTCAATACTGAATAAATTCTCTTATTTCTTTCATGTTCTTTGTCACGAATCATGACCCAGTTTTCTGCAATTTCCATGTACCTTTGAAAACCGGTTGTCGTGATTTTGTAAGATAGTTCCAGTTGAACATCCTCTGAGCTTCGGATCTGGAGATGATCAACATCAGCCTTAGATTGATGCATGCGGTAGCCAATGAGAAGCTTTCTCGTTTTCACAAGCATTCGCTTAATGTCAGTGATAGTCCAATTAAAGATGTTGAAACAGTATTACACTACAGGAACAGCCAAAGAGTTTATGGCTGATATTCTGTTTATTTATTATTATTATTATTAATAATAATAATAATAATAATAATAATAATGCCACAGTGTAACAAGATTGAGCGATTGTGTCTTAAAATAATCTATAGGTGAATTTGTTTCCTATCATTTCATTGGGATGCAATTCACAAGTTGTGTTGAGCTTTTGCCAAAAAGGTGTAACTGAATTCTAATAATTCTTTTTATTTTCTTCTGCAGTCTTTGCTATCGTCATTGTTACTAAATTATCGATTTTGATTCACCCTTTATGCCGTTCTGTAGAAAACATTAAAATCCTTGCACCTGATAACATCAAATCTTTTTTAAACATATTTAGTTATTTTTGGTATTTTTGTCACATTCTGCTGCTATGATGCCAATCTTTTCGGATTTGAATTTTCTACTTTTCTTTTACCTTTTTTGCAACTTTCTCGTTTTTCTTTTCTATTTCTCCTTCACCTGATTGTGTAACTTTTCTTCTTATTTCTCCTTTTCCTTCCCTTTTTTTTCTTTTTTTTCTCTTCTTCTGACTAGCACTTCTTCCCTTTTTTTTACAAATTTCTGTTTGGCAGTAGTGATGCTGCCGCGTATAATGATGCTTTTTTCACAGGTGATATTTCTGTCTTTTTTTTTATATTCATCATTCTACGTCTATTTCAACATTTTATTCTTGCTACGAAAAAGATCATTTTGTCCAATCTAGGAATGTCACCTAATTAATAAGAATATTGTTACTACCATCACAATTTTAGAGAAATGCCATCCATTTTAAGAATAATGATAATTACAATAACAACAATAAAAATAATAAGAATTAGCAACGTGTGTGTCTGTGTATGTGTGTGTGCGTGTACCAGTTTTTAATTTTTACTCTGACATTTTTCAGCGATGATCCGACGTTATGAGAAAAATAATTTACAAGAATGAAAGCTATATTAGCCAGACGAATCACACTAAGCCTCGGAACCCTTGAATTTTCCGATGACCTCCGGATAATCGGCGAAACATATCAAAGTAAAAAATTTCTAAATTGTCATATATTTACCCTTCCGTCAAATTCTCATCCACCTTAATTATTACATATATATATATATATATATATATATATATATATATATATATATATATTTATTTATTTAAAATATGATTCCAACGCTACATAAGAGTTCTCATGCTTCCAAACAAGAGCCGAAAACTTCAATATAATTATTTGAATTAAAGTACTAAGCTCTGTTCCATCTTCAAGCGAAATTTTTTTGAATAACTTATTCCTGAAATTTATAATGAATATGCTTATAAAACGCGTAAATTTCAGGAATAAGTTATTCAAAAAAAAAATTTCGCTTGAAGATGGAACAGAGCTTAGTACTTTAATTCAATTTAATTCAAATAATTATATTGAAGTTTTCGGCTTTTGTTTTGAAACTTGAGAATTCTTATGTAGTGATGGAATCATATTTTAAATAAATAATTATATCTATGCTCTACTTTTGTATCGAGCACTGTTTTTTAAATAATAACAAAATACTAAAGAACTTTGGATTATTTGCCTAACGAGTTTCTTTATTATTTTCTATATATTTTACACACACACACACACACACACACACACACACACACACACACACATATATATATATATATATATATATATATATATATATATATATATATATAAGAATTATATATATCCGGTTGAACTCTCTAGCGAAAGGGGTTTTTAAAAACAGCGGCTCCTACTGCTACCAAGCATTATTCTACAAGTAAATTGAATTGAGTTCTCCGAGCCACTGACGTATTTCGTATAGAGAAAAATGTTAAAACTCCTGTCCGTTCTGCCGTCCGACGATGGCCTAGATGTAAGATATCAGACTGGTGTCAAATCAGTCGGGTTTCGATCCCTGCTTGAAGCAATCAACATTGTGGAGTTGTAATACAGCGCAACATAGAGAGGAGGGGTGTTAAAAATAACAGGATGAGTTATTATTATTTTTAATAAGTTTTTCTTATTGGCGGATTAGTTTCCACATATTGATGTGGAAGGTGTCACTGTAAAGGAACCAACCACAATTATATTCATGACCAACATTTTATATCATATGCATTATAATGACTAACCGCTTGTTTCTGAATATACCTGGTTTCCTTGGGCGGCTAAACGTTCCTGTTGCCGAGGCCTAGAGAATGTTTCAACGATCACTATAATCTTAACCTGTTGAGGTCTCGTTTATCTTCGCCTCCTACCCATATAAATTACCTCTTATTGTAACCTCTACCTCGAGTGGCTCCCGGTTGAACCTTACTGTAAAAAATGTTTCAATTTCTCTCACTCTCTGACGAAAGCTTTAATAATAATAATAATAATAATAATATATATATATATATATATATATATATATATATATATATATATATATATATATAACTATTTATTTAAAAATATGATTCCATAAATAAATAATTATATTTATGCTCTACTTTTGTATCGAGCACTATTTTTTAAAAATAATAACAAAAATACTAAAGAAATACTAAAATACTTTGGATTATTTACCTAACGAGTTCTTTCCTATTTTCTATATATTTTCAAACACACACACACACATATATATATATATATATATATATATATATATATATATATATATATTACGAGAGTTATTAATATTAATATTTCTCTTCATTCTAAATAAAATCATTGTGGCTACTGTCTTGCTAACTGTATTGCAATAAATGTCTTTATTAGGTTTATCTATCATATTTATTTTCTTCTAACAATAATTATTTTAATATTTTTATTGACAAGATTAACGTTCACATTTAATTGTATCGCACTTTTTGTGAATTTTGTTTGTTTTTAGCTTAATTAAATATTTTCATTTCAACACTTTAGGGATTATGGTCATTTCCGTTCGTTTATGTCTTTTCATCCATCTTTATAAATGTAACTAATTAAAGATGGATGAAAAGATTCATTGTTTTTCTTATTTTTTCTCGATCATCTTCTGTGTAGATCATTTCATGTTTTATAATATATATTTATTTTAGAATTTTTATTTTATATTCATCATATCTTTGTCCAGTTTCCCCCCCCTCTCTCTCTCTTTTATTCCTCTTTCTCTTTTTTAAAAAAGAGAGGAAGAAGAAATGAAGAAAAGACTCCTTCTCTCTCTCTCACACACACACAGAAACACACTCTTTCTATGTGTATGTAAAATTTTATAACCCAAACATGTTTTTTCTATTGTTTTCATTTTACTTTTTATTTTCTTCATCAATTTTATAATCCGTTTTCTGTTTCCATTAATTTTTACTCCCATTACTATGAAGCCTATCCCTTGTTCTTCTCTCTTAGAAATGATTTCATCTCGTTGAGAAATCACAGAAGCTTTCTTTTCCTCCTTCTCGTACGTTTCTTTCTTTTTCCTCGCCTCTTCTTTCACATTTCTTCTTCAAAGCCAGTGTCACCACACCAATTACCATCACTAAGTGCCTGAGCTAACTCTGAAGCCCAATCCCCCCAAAATAGAAAAAGGAAGATGTTAACGCCCTGTCAGTCCTATGGTTGATTAATGTAGATTCTGAACGTTAGGAAGAGTTGGGAAGAGGCGTCGAATTGGTGATGCGGGAATGAGGTCGTGTGCAGTAACGGCTGGGGGAAGACGAGTATGATTACGGACACCATGCCCCATCCATCGGATACTGGAAAAGAAATCCTCGCTGGCACGATGGACGCTGTGGCAGCAAGAATGATTTACATGGCGTGTTTTGGGGACAGAAGATTGCATTGTAGTAGATGGGGAAAGATAGGAGTCGAGCGTGGCGCTCAGCAATGGTGACACACATCTGCACTTGCTGTTCGTTTGGGGCGGAGTTAACGCATAAAATCATTCTTCGTGTCGCGTCCCTCGGGTTTAAAGGAATAAAAAAATAAAACACTTCGAAACATACTCTTCACGAAAATTCGATTTTGTCGTAAAATTGACTCACCAGGATTTTTCTTTTTCTCCTTTTGAGAGAAAAAAATAATAAAATTCGCAGGTAAACTTCAAATTTCCATATATCACGTTTCTCTTTCTTTGCTTGGAATGAAAATAAAATTCTCAGGATTTAATAGTATTTATTCGATTTAAATCCAGAAGGTAAGGTAGGAGCTTTTTTTGCTGACTAAGCTGATTGACAGTTTGCTTCCAGCGCTAATGAGACGAAAGTTAGAATTTCGAACGTTCAACTTTGGAAGGCAAATTCCACTCAGAAATCTGTCCCCGTCTCATCTCCCTAACACAGTAGCAGTTTCATTCATGTTTTTATAAAAGTTTATAAAATCTGCCTCTCCTACGCATTTCCCCCAGCTCTCTCCCATCTTGCTTCCCCCTTCTTTCTCTCTATCTCTCTCTCTCTCTCTCTCTCTCTCTCTCTCTCTCTCTCTCTCTTTCTGTTTATGTATGTATGAATATCTACTCATTTTTTTAATCGGTGTCACCCCAAGGAAGACATTACAGTCACTAGTACACAAGGGGTTACAGGGTGGGGTAACTAGGAACAGAAACATTAGTAATGAGGAGAAATAGAAAAGAGCAACCAGGAGGACAATAGATAGCGATTGACATTGCATTTAGATTTTTGCAGATTAAAATTGGTTCGAAAGCCGACAGGGAGTTCCACAAGTGAGAAGTGCGAGATAAGAAACTGTTAGCATAGAAGTTACGCCTGCATCTCGCTAGCTCAAATGTAAATTGATGAGATCTCGACACCAGTCTAGTATTGCGCTTGTCCTTTTCACATTATTATACTGCATGTATGTGTTGAATTAATTTATTTTGAAAGAGTTGAAATCTGCTAAATTTTATTAAGAGACTCACAGTTAATTTAAACAGGCCCCCAAATAAATATTAATCTTAGGTTCCTTTCCAATATACTCAATAAAAAATTAGATTACTGTTTAAAAAACGCCAGAAAAATGACCCTAAAATCACTTCACCATTTTCAAGAGCGAAGGAAATAGACGAATTCCTAAAGAAGAACATATTGTTGATCAATCCAAATCGAGAATCGCACGGAATCTAATAGACTCGAACTTAGGATTTTTCCTTTCCACTAAGAAACGTTTCATTGTACAACTCCCTAACAAAGCCACTTCTACCGACAGGCTTACATGAAAGGACGCAGTAGAAAGTTTAATAGATCCCCTCTCTCTCTCTCTCTCTCTCTCTCTCTCTCTCTTTCTCTATCTATCTATCTCTATCTCTCTCTCTCTGTGATCGATGAAAGTGTGAATGTACTAAACTTTTTCAGTTGGTACAAAGTCTGAATGGTATGAAGATTCCAAGGTTGGCTTCAATGCCAAGCTTTCGACGTCTTTAAAAAGTAGATCAACGCTCATTCTGCTTATATTAGCAGATGGCACCTGTATTTGTGTAAAATGTGCCTCTTCCGCTGTCTCAATCGTTTATTCTATATTTCAACTTAACATCAGGAAGAGACTGTTGAATTTTCACAGGCACATAATTAGAAAAGAGAGCTTGAAAAATCTGATACTCACAGGATAGGATTGACGGTAAGAGGAACAGAGGAAACAGCGTAAAACCTACCTAGTGAAATTGAGTAAATGGATGGCGGGACAAGATTCGGGAGAGATAACAAAAAGTCTAAATTTATTAAGGGCTACAAAAGACAGAAAATTGTGGAGAGCCATGATCGCCAACGTTCTGAAGGAACACGGCACATAAAAGATGTTTCGATTATTCACGTATTCTACAATATACCCAGTGCTCTTTCTTTATATCTTTTACCTCCCATGTGTTTACCCAACTAGGCACTTACGGCCACATCATGTTGAAACATCGGTTCCCGTATGACCAACGATGTTAAGAAATGCTGAGCGTGCTCAGTAAGTAGATGGATGACCGTTTGGATGCTGTAAGCTTGGTTGTGTGGGTGGTATAATGCATGATATCTGTTAATCGGAGAGCCGAGTTCCAATTCCCGTTAGGATAGCTACTTACGCTATTTGCGAATATTCACTTACGCGCAAACACATTTGGGGAGGGTATGAATGCACATCTTCCCCCTACACCAGCTAATTAGTAAGATTTATATGGATAAATCATTTTTATCTTTAAGAAATATATAATTCTCTGGTTTAAAATAACCTGCTAGACGAACCGTAGAAAAGGAATCAATAAAAAAATAATTGCCAATTTTGGTCAAATGGCTGTTGGATTAATAATAAATAAAGTAAATACATAAGATCATCTAACATACAAAGAACAATATTTTTTTTTTTGCTAATATTTACCCAATTAAAGGACCAAGAGCCACATGAGGTAGAGTCTTACTGTGTGGACTTAAAAGTTCCACTCCATCTCCAACCATTATCAATGTTGGGAAATGCGTAACTATTACATTCATAAAGCAGACTTGAATACACACAATATCAGGTTTTATCATTCAAGTCAATGTTTTCTCCATAAAATAGCTATTAACCAATTGTTGTTGGTAACTTGTTCAAGATATACTCTTAGCTGACTAATACAAGAAAAAGATCGTCATAATCAAGGGGGGGTCGCATTTTGCTCAATTTAGAATAAACCAGGTTTTCTAATAAAAGGTAGAGGTCGGGAAATCATTTAAAAGGTCAAAAAGTGCGAAATCAATAAACGGAATGAGGATCTCAATAAACTCGGTGAAGTTTGAGAGGTCGGAAAATTTCCTCAACAAATAAATAAACGCCCTGTCGTCTATTAAACATCTAAGAGTACTTATAATTATAGGGGCAATATATTACAAGACATACAGTTTACGGGTCATTGGCCGAGAGGATGAGGACATTTCAATGTAATCATTAGCAACTTTGTCTCGCTTAATCAATTACGACTGGGTAGTGAGTTCTATACTCACTAGGTGCTCCCTACTTTCAGCTTTGGTCATATCTAAGTTATGTTTAGTAAATCCCCATTGGCCGAGGGGATCAAATCAATGATTTCTGAACGTCTTTAGACTTGATGGAAACAGGATTATCAATAACTGAACAGAGGAGTTATATGAGTTAAATAGAGGAAAAAGATATTTACAGACATTGCTGTTGTTCCTAGGTCCTCTCTGACCCGGAGTGGTAGCACCTGTTTGGGTTCAAGCTATGGGCAAATCGTGAACCCTCCCAAACAAAAATAAAACACTATGAAAGTATAAAAATACATTTTTATAGTAAAATGTACAGCAATATATATATATATAAATATATATATGCATGTTTCATTAAAAACGACAGACAAGGTACTACGGTTGAGCTTTTTATTTAATTTTTCTCGTATTCTGACAAGAGCTTTCTTTTCTGGACAAAGGGTGTGTAAGAACTGTCCGAATGTTTTATATTTCCGAGCGCTTTCGACTATACCTTTAGCCATTATCAAGGATAATTCGATTTTTCAGCTTAGTTGAGTGTGTGCGTTCTGTGTATGTATCAGTGTGTGGTAGGGATGTTTTTAATTTCCGAATACGGTTAGCACATTGTGGCCTTGTTCGTAGTTAATATTGTTAAGAGTTGGCTTTTTATTTTTTATTATTAAAGCTTCCATTATTTTTAGTCTTTTTTTGCAGGTGGATGCAGTTAATATATTTGTGTTTTCTACTAGTATGTTCCTAATGGTGTCGGGTAAATCTGTGTGTGTGTTTAAATGGGTTCTAATGGAGCTGTGATCAGATAGGTGTAACGTAAGATGTCTGGATAAGCATGTAGCCGATGTAATTATTTATGAGTCCGGTTTGATCAGGAACGCAGTTCTTTAAAGGGCATTTGAACTCATAGATAATGTTCGTTCTTTGTAATTTTGACTTAGTTGGTGTGTTGTTATTTTTTAATTTTTGAGTGTTCTGTGATCGATGTTTAATTTGTCGCAATTTATGACACCATCACTCAAGAACTTTACAATATCTTGTTTTCCTTACATTTTATGACATCTTTATATGTGTGAAATTATAACATAAATATATCTATAAATTTATTTGCAGTATGTTGAACAGTCCTCAACTTGCATAATAAAATCTTACACCATCAAATGAGATATTGTAAATATTTCTAATGAAACTTAAATAAACATAGTATATAAAATAGATATAGATAAAATCTGAAAATATATTTTATTTCTGAAAAGAGTTACTTGCATAATAAAATTATCCATATATATATATATATATATATATATATAAACCCCTATACGATATATATATATATATATATTCCCCTGACGAGTCGGTTTTACGAAACTCTGGATGCTGAAGATATTATCAATCAGCTAAGTGACAAACCTTTTATATGTATTAATTCTTTCTGTCTCCTCTCTCTCTCTCTCTCTCTCTCTCTATCTATCTATCTATCTATCTATCTATATACGAGGGTAAGTCAAAAAGTATCCACGCTCTTGACCAAAAGATATGTTATGCCGATAAACAAGGTCATCGCAGTATTTTTTTAAATTTTTATTTCTTGCGTTTTGTCCATTTGCTTATATGAAAAATCCTAAATAATTCGAAATATACATTATTACATACATAAATACTACATTTGAATGTCATTGGTGCTGGTCTAGTTTTCAAAGACTGGTGCTGTTCATGTTTGTTAAAAAAATTACTAGATTTGATTACTTGAAATATACGCAATAGCTCGATGCCATAGATATATATTGTAGAAGTAAAATATAAAAATTTCAGGAAATAGAGTGGTTTTCAGATCTGCCAAATTAAAGTAAAATCGAACCCTAAAAGTCTCTCTTCCATTAATCAATACACTTGTATACATGTCTCGTAAAAAATGGCGTACTGGTCAAATACATCAAAAGAAGAGGAGACAGAAATCGCTTTTTGAAAGATGGAAATAATCAGGATATAACGAAGCGGTGAATATCGCCCGGATTTCAAGTGAAAGTTCATAAAAACACTTTCGATAATTAGTATCGGCTGGAAATTAAAGCAATCACTACTACTTCTAAAAACTATGGAAATTTCACGGTGCAATTTTTAATTTAGAAATACATGAATTATAACGCAGAAGAATCAGCAATATTATTGGCCCTCATCTGTCGGTTCGGCTTCAGTCACTTTCCCCACCGCCGTAAGGTCGCCTCCCTGTGTCTTTTCTACAAATACTTTCATGGTAATGATTCGGATGAGCTTTTCGCTATAATACCAAGACTTTTTGAATTTACACGTAGTACTAGGCTGACGTCGAGATCTCATCAATTTACGGTTGAGCTAGTTAAATGTAGCCGTAAGTTCTATGCTAAGAGTTTCTTTTCTCGCACTTCTCGCTTGTGGAACTCCCTTTCGGCTCCATGTTTTCAAGACAACTTTAATCTGCAAAAACTTAAATTCAATGTCAATCGTTATCTACTATCCTCCTGATCATTCTTTTCTTTTCCCGCTCATTATTAATGTTTGTATCCCTAATTCTTCCACACTCTGTAACCTCTTGTGTCTTAGTGGCTTTATTGCTTTGCATAGGGTCATACCAATAAAAAAAAATGAAGCTGTAACAAGGTTAGTGTTTTACTATCATTGACGCGCATTGATAGATTTTTCCCCATGATAGTAGAAATATGTTGTTATACTGAAATTCACCGTTTTCAATTCACCGTTGTCAGTGATGACTTTAGACTTGAACATCTGTGAACATAACTTATTGATTCATTAATTTGTTTTTACGGATTCTCAACCCTTTATGGGTCATAGAAATCCAGAAACATATTTTGGATTACAAGAATAATTTTTTTTCTTTTCTTTTTTTTTTTTTTTTGCATTAACATTTTTTTTAGAATAACAATGTTATTTTTTGTTTTTGTTTTTTTCAGATACAAGTCCTACAATTTAAACCATAACTGGGAAAGGAGATGTATCAATACGTTTCCCAAGGTTATTTGCGCGTAAGTGAATGCAATGAACTTCAAACTGATTGAGAGTAACTAACGAGGCAGGAATTGTGAAAAAAGTTAATGTTAAAAAAATGAAAGAATCAAAAGTTTCGTGTTATCAGCACACCCACACCCATTACAGAAGCATTAATGGATCCGTGGACAATATGATAACTTTAGATAGAACAGGAAATATATTTTGGAAGTGTGCAATAAAATGTATATACGTTAATATTTTCGTCCCAAAAAAGTTCTCCCAAAGAAGATTATTTATACCAATGACATATAGAAAGTTACGAACCATTAATGAAAATGTTCGTACTTAAATAACTCATGACATCAATATGAATTTGGTTTATTTATAAATGTGCCTTTAGAATGTAAGCGATCATGGATCTCCACAGATTCTATTCTCTTCATCTGTGAATTGTCATGACTTTTTGGGAAAATAGTGTTTCCTATTACCTTCTCCACAGTTTTGAATTCGGAGTTTTCCCTCTCTCAGATTGGCAACCATCCAAAGTTAATGAGCCCAGATTTAGCTGGAGGTAGAGACAGGTGATGGATTCATGCCATATCCACCCCCGGCTGGAACCATCTCAAATCAACTCTGCACCTGGCTTCCTTTGACGGTCTGTTGTGAAACTGAGACCAAATCTGTTTCGACATAGCACAGTTACCTGCTATGTCGACCTCACAGTAGCATATAGCCACATCAATAGAAATTCTCCCCATCCATTAGAAACCGCCTTCCAAGTTCCGAATCCACTAAATGAATCGATCAAGTAGAGGAAGTTTATCAGTCTACAAAATCTTATATAAGATTTTGTCTGGTGAGGACCCCAATACAAAAGAATTTTAAACCTCACCAGGAGTAAGTCAAGGAGGAAATGAGTCCCGGTCTTTTAAATATTTTCCTAGACTATGTCCTGTGCATTTACAAACACAGATGTGAAGAAATGAGCACTGATAACTTAAGCATTCGATACCACATCCCAAACAAACCTGCCAATAGAAGACAACGATCCTGCTTTCGCTCCCAAGGCCAACTACAGATGGTGAGTGCGAAAGTAAGGGAATAAATTTTCCACGATCACGAAATCGCGGACGGAATCGTGGAATCGTTAGTCTTAAACGGAATCTGGGTTGTTAAAATAATTTTCAATAATAACTAATTAATTATTTGAGTTTTTTCAGACTATTTTTTCAAAATTTAATAACTGTCTCTCCGATTTTGTTAAACATTTTAATAAATATAACAATAACATAATTCAGTTTCATTAAAATTTGTTTTTACAAATATTTGTAGTTATTTTCCTTTTAAAATCCCCAAAATAATTAAGAACAAAAAGTGTTTACATAAAAAAAAGAAAAAGTATGTTGTCGATTTTCTGAGAATATGTTGGCTAATCTATTTTTAAATATTTTATAACTTTTCTAAGAAACTGTATGTTGCAAATGAGATGAAAGTCAGAAGGTCATGGCTCAGTCGTAGTAACCGAAATCCATTGCTAAAGTGGAAATGGAAGACAGACATTAGTTGATGTCAAAATTGGAGGGGGGAGAAAGAGAGAGAGAGACGAAGATGAAACCAATAAGTTTAAGAAATTCATTTCCTTTAGGCCCAACACAATTTACATGTAAAAGATTCTAAACAACTTGTAAGCTTGTTTTATAAATATGAAAAAGTAAATGCTATCACGTTCCTACCATACAATTTAGAAATAAAGAAAAAACAATTCTCCAAAAACACCATTCTATGAAATGACTGGCCTGTCTAAGCTTACTATCACACAGCGATTCTCCCAGATTAATAATTCCATCATCTTCAGTGCTTCACCATTTTAAACAAATTTAAATTGAACAAAAAAATCCTCTAATAACATTAACTGTCAATGATTATTTTTTCATATTTTATTTATATTTTGTAACCTAAACCAGTTCCACGAATAAGCAACAAATTGCCAAGATGACTGAATCAAGTCAATATAGTGAATCCACCTCTAAAGTGGGACCTACTACTCTAAAAAAAAAAAAAGAAAAGAAAATGGCCCCATATCTAAAATTTGTGTTAAAACCAGAGTAGAGCAATTTCATGATGACTTTTATGCAGAAGAAAATATGTCATTTTGCAAATTCTATCTCCATAGTGTTGACATTTTTAGGGTTGACACAATCAAAGATCACATCAAATTCAAACTCATTTGAAAAATAAGTCTTCAAAAAAGTCAGCTCAACTGACACAGAAGACAATCATAACTTTGCTGAAGAGTAAAGAGGTACGAGATGATTTTTTTCCTTGATTTTTTGAAAATATGCACTTTGTCTGACATTCCCCTACACAAAATTGACAAAATGCGGTCATTCATATTAAAACATTGTAAAGAAGGTGATGTTATTCCAAGTATCAATTATGTTAGACAACTTCATCTACCAAAATTGTTTCCTTATCACTTTGCTGCCCTGAAAGCCAAGCTTTCTAATCAATCAGTCAGCATGATAACAGATGAAACAACTATCAAGACCACTGCATTTTGAATGTAATTGCAAGCATTCATGGGGAGTCATTTCTCATTGATGTTGTAACCTTGAGAGAATGCAATCATCAAATTGTAAGTCAGGCATGAATCCAAGCTGCAACTCCTGTGGATATTGCATTTGAGGATATTATTGCCTTTGTAGCAGATTCTGCAGCCTATTGCAAAAAAAAGCTCATAAGGATGTGTTTTCAAATGTTTTTGTTAACAGTTGCCATGTGTTGTGCTTAGCACATATTTTAAATATTGTTGATGAAGTATTTTCACACTGGCCAGCATTTGATAATGTTACCTGGCTCACCACTTTCATCAAGTCAGCCTTTTTTTAAAAAGCCTAGTCGGAAAAAGCGATACTTAAAATGTCTTGAAGGTTCCTTGCCTAAGGAACAAGTTAAACTACTCCTTGTACCAGTGGCAACCAGATGGAATTCCTGGTTTAATGTGGCCAAATAGCACTCATAAGCAAGAAAAGATCCATGGTCTTGCAGTAGATAGGATTCTAGAATTAGTAGATGTTAGTCGACTACATTAGCATAATTTGCACCTAATTTAGAATTTTATAAATGAGAACTACACTCGTTTACTTACAGCTTTGACAAACTTAGAAGAAACTAAGCCTCTGCTTTCATGTGTTGTATATAACATGACGGGGGATGTAAAACAATATTTGCATACTGGTACATCAAAATCAACATTTGGCCTAGAAAAGGTTTTTTCTGCACATCTTTTTCGAAACTGAATAAATACCTGGATACCCACCCTGTGTATAACTTTTTCAAGGCAGCTTACCTGTTTTATTCTAGATAACCGCCCTGTATAGGCCATGATTTAGACAACTTCGTAGCCATCAAAGACTTGCAATGTCTTTCTACTGATCTTGAAGAATTCCAAATGTATATGAATTACCAAGACGATTTGCCAGACCCTTTTAATATCACATCATTTTGAAATGCA